ACAATTTTAATTAGTGCGCCTCACACCTCTAATAACACTATGAGAAGTAGAACCTTCTTTTTGGCTTCAAAATTTTTGTTTTATTTTTTAAAACTGACCTGGGTGGAACTTTTATTGAAAATAATGAGGAAAGCCAGAACCTTCTTATAGCAACTGTACATGATAAAAATTTCCTAATTTTTGTGCCTTCGATGGAAACTTATTCTGGATTATACTACTGGTGTATTCACCGTCAAACACGTGGTATTTTACCATTTCTTTTTGCTCCCTTCTTGCAGTTGAAGAAATACTTCAAGGAGATAAGTGTTCCAGTTGATGTTAAGTATATCGATCCAACATATATGATCCGTGCATGTCGTGCAAATGCTTCCGATGGGATTTTGTGCACTGTATTGGGTCAGAATGCTGTAAGTCCCTCTTCCCTCTCTCCAGAGTACAAAATTAATAACTGCCTTTTTTTTTACCTTCAATGGTTGTTTTGTTATTATCGGAGTTTTTTTTCCCTTCCTCGGGAGACGAGAAATTAATTAACTATGAAAGAAGGTATATACTGCACACTAAAAATCAATGAAAAAAAAGAGAGATACAGAAGCATAGGACTCGATCCATGAAATAAAATGATATACATTACTACCTGTTGTTGTAGTGCTTTGCTTTTATTTGTTAGGCCTAACGATGAATGGTAGCTCCGATCGTAGTATCAATTGGGCCTCTGTTGCCCGTGACTCATTCCATTTTGCGTACTTTCTTTTCCACAAGATTTCCCCGTCTTTAACTAAGTAGGACAACGATTTCTTCTATTGCGTCTCGTTCTTTTTCTTCCTCTCTAGGTCTTTCAAATATTAAATTCGAATTTAGTTTTGTTGTATAGTTTCTCTAGTCTTCCAAGTGTTGTGGAAAGGTGGCTTTTTGTTGTTTTGTGGTTTATTTGGTTGAAAGAAACAGAGACATTTTTATGGATCTAGAAAGGTGGTGTGCGGGGTTTGGTGCATTACAATGCTCGTCTTTGATTCATACTTCAAAGTTTTTTTCCTTGAAGTTACTCATTGTTCTTGATAATCAACAGCTGGGTTATTGTAATTCTTTCTGTGTTTGCGGCTTTTGGTCGACCTTACTTTCTAGTGGCCTCGCTTTGAACTTTCATTCTTCTCCACGAAAAGTGGAATCTTTCATGAAGAACAAGTATTATATATAGATCATTTGTTATGTGATCGATCCCATTGTAAACTGGTTGTACATGGCACATTAACCCGAACACATCTATCTGTACCAGAAGCTTTTTCAATTGATTATTCCATGGATGGGTTTATTTGATTGATGACAGGTCCACGGTGCGTTTGCGGGATATAGTGGCATTACAGTAGGAATCTGCAACACACATTACGTCTATCTTCCGATTCCCGAAGTGATTTCGTATCCCAGAATATTGGACCCGAACAGCCGAATGTGGCATCGATGTCTAACTTCGACAGGCCAACCAGATTTTATCTAATCATCTCCATTTAATTTATGCAAGGAAAAAAGGGTTCCAGAGAAATGAGGGAGCAGGCAACTAGCTTCAGTTTTTGCTTAATTAGGCAATGCCTTTGGTAGAATAAGTAATAATGCAGAGAGAAATTGTTTAAGTGTATAGCAATACTACTTGAGAAGATTCATTGATAATAAGAAACACTGAGGAGGAAAAAACCAAGTTCTTGCAGCTTTGTTGCATAATATTTATTCATTGTATCTCAGAAACATTGGTCATTTTATTAATGAAGAGGACTGAGATATTTATGTGCAACTTTACTAATCAGGGGATCTTTTAATTCCTCTCTAGCTCCATTTAGTGATTTAGTTCATTTTGGTTCTGTAAAAATTTCCATTATTATAGAGAATTAGTTTATATGGTTTGGTCTTTCATCATTTTTTTTCCACACTGATAAAAATAAAAAAAACTATTTCGGTAATGCTCACTGCAGAAGACAGTGGATTATCATTATTCAGTATGATGCTTCTGATATATCTCTGCCCAAAACTTTTTACCCCCTCTCTCTCTAGCACACAGAAAAAACTCAGCTATCGACGGCATTTCTATTTATATTTTACTGTCAGTAATTCGACACTATTGTGAAAAAACCGATAGTTAGGAAATATCATTAATATAGACATAATGCTAATAATAAAAATATTTAATTTAGTTAAAAATGTTGAAATATTTATTTGTTAATTTAAATATATTTTTATTAATTTATTGATTTTTCTAACTATATTTATAATGTAATAGTTTTTTAAAAATTGAGTATCGTGTTTTTTATCCTATAATTTACTACTGGACAAAATGTTATATACTTATGCTAAAACGTGTATCACTCCAGATTTTAATAAGTTTTTATTTATATTATTAGAGGTTGGTTAAAAGTCTGATTTAAGAAGTTGCATATACGTACGAGTAAAATATAATTTTGGGATTATATAATTTGGACATTAGTAAAACTTACCTTAAAACATGAATCAGACTACATAACTTCACAACCTAAATATGGTTTGTTAGAGTCCACCGAGTAACTAACTCCCTACTAAGAATAATTTTGGGTTTTATTAAAAAAAAATAATTGAGAATGTTTTCACAATTTTTTAGTAAAAAATAAGTGTAAACTCTAGATTATAGACTAGTTAAAAAAAAATAGGTCATTGATTCTTTTTCTAACTACGATAATCAATGTACATATTTTTAAAATATTTATTTTGATTTTTGTACTTTAATTTTTATTCATTTTAATAATTTTAATTTTGAAATATTGTTTTAATTCGAATATGTAAAAAAAAAAGTAATTGTTAATTTAAAAAATATAGACATGAAAAGAAAGAAAAGTATAATATAAAAAATTAATATCTGAGTACAAAGAAATTTAAAACCAAGCAAGTGATGGGGCGGTATATATGGCTGTCGTGTTTCGGTGGAACCCTAGCCTTTTCCTCCGATGTATAAGAAACACTCAATCTGAATCCACCACCACTGACCGCCATTTCATATTAATCCATTTCAACAACTGCTGCACCAGTTGCCACCTCCGCCAATGGCGATGGAGCTCTGTGCCTCCCAACCTATTTCCCACCTTCCCGTTTTCTCCACTCTTCTCGCCGGAAACCCTCAGCTCCGTCCGAAGCACGCTCTTCCGATCAAAATGACCCTGCCTTCGCGCACTACTCGCACCCTCCTCCACTTCCGTATGTTCTACATTCATTATACTCTCACTGTCCGATCCAAAACGAATCCCTAGGTTGTCGTTGTGGCGGTCTATTACTGTTTGTTTCATTTCTGCCTTCACTTGATTGATTTAGGCTTTGCTTTGCTTTCCCTGCTCTCTTATTTATCAATTGAGCTGATTAGAATCTCCGCTTGATTTTACATTTGGGGGAAGCGGGGGAAGGGGGGTTCACATGTATATGGTTTTGAAAGTTTGTTCTTCTAAATTATTTATCAGGTTATCGTGATTATGCTATTTCGCTGCCAAGAGCAGCAGCCTCTGACGACTCAAATGGATATAGTCCCTTAATTACTGAAGAACGGGATAGCGTGACAACCCTGGAAGATTCTCCTTCTGCTTCTTCGGTCGCGTTGGAAGATTCTCCTGCTGAGGAGCTCGCGTCCAGCGAGATTGCGGCATCTGAAGTACCTAAAGAAGAACCAGTTGAGGTTGCGCCCGTCGTAACGCTGGAAGATTCTCCTTCTGCGGAAAAGAACGAAATAGCGACATCTGAAGAACCTAAAGAAGAACCAGTTGTGGGTGCGCCGTTTGAACTATTGAAT